CCCCCCCCCCCCCCCCCGTCTCACTGGTATACCAGAACCTTCTGTTGATCTGTTTTGCTAAATAATCCAAAGAGTGGGACCAGATTGCACTCCTAACACGAAGCCAAGCACCACTAGCACTGCGTTCTCCATCCGGGTGCGAGCTGATGGTCGGCACCCAGTGTCGGACACCCCCGCCCCGCCTCTTGGACCCGTCTGTATGCGAGAAGAGCACCCAGACACCCATATGTGAATTTGCCAGAGGACCACTGCATAAAACAGTTACCCAAATGCCAGCATAATCTTTAGCAATGCATTCCATTTAAAATATGCTGCTAAACAAAACCGACCGACAAAATTCTCACTTTTGGACATTCACCAAATTGCACGTAAGATAAGCAGCTTTCCGACGGGTATAACAGGCCTCACTTGGGACGCCAGCGCTCTGCTCACGTCAGATTGCCCCGGCCAGCATTCTGCTTGCCACCTTCGCGGGGAACATCACAGCGGTCATGCGCGACTTACCCCAGCTTGTCTGTGCCCGGCTGTCCCTCCGAGGCCTAGCCTGTGCGATAAATCCAGGGTGTTTCCCAGGCAGGGTCCCCACCCAGGTGCAGCAGGGGCCGGCACCTGCGAGCGAGCGGGACGGCACTTTTAAGAGAGAGGAGCCGGCAGCACTGGCAGCGGCTTCCCCTCTGCCTCGCCTCGGTGCAAGGAGAGAGCGGAATGCAGCCTCTGTAGACTTTTTGTCAAAGCTGTAGGTCTTTTTTAGCAAGGCAAGATTAGTTCATACAAAACTCAACAATACGGCACTGAAACCTATTGTTGATATTCAACATTTTTCACATAGCGGAGCAGAATAGACAATGTGGGCGGCGGGAAACCCCGGCATGGATTTCCAGCTGATAGTATCTCAGCCGCTAGGCCTGCGACGGCATTTTTTATCAGCCTTCTCAGAGGAGAAGCGGGCGGAACGTGGAAATCGAAATGTCACCCCGAGGCTTTAATGGTGAGACGAGGGATTGAAATTGATTCCGCGGAACGGAATCTCCCGAAAAAGCCCAGCCGAGGGAACCCCGGGAAGCTCCCAGACAAAGCAGCCTCAGAGCAAATACGGCTATTAAACCTTACGTGAATTTAAGGCTGCTCAGTTTGGGAGAATAGCTTCTAATACAAAACGTAACACTTGTCTGTAGTTAGTAAAACCTAAAAAAAGAAACATCTTTATCTTGAGCTTACTGAAAACTGTATGCTCGTTAATCATTTTAAACGATGTTTCTTAAAACCAGATTTTAGAAAGACCAAACTGATAGAACACTTAGTTACAATATGCTAAATTTAAAATCAGTTTTATTCTAGCAGTATGTGCATGGATTTGAGGTTGAGGGTTTAGTCCTAGATTCTGATTAAGGAGTACAAATATTCTTGACATTTAACACACAAAAGCACTGCTGATCTCACCGTAGCACCTCAGTGAAAACAGTCAGCATCCAAGATCTTAAGCAGCATGTCTGATCCTACCACCTTCTCCGCCACAGGGAGGTCCAGCACCTGCCCAGTCCATTCCTCCCAGGATTCCAGCTGCCACTTTTTCCCAGTGTCCCTGCTCGCTCCGAGGTAGCTGGGAGAGTCAGGATTGTTCGTCCACTTTCTTTTCAGCACTTCCTCAATTGACCAATTGACAGCTGATTGATGGTTATCTTTTCACGGCTATAAAAGGGGGGAAATTACCATCACTGTGGCTGTGTACAGTATGAGCCTTTGGGGTAAATTGCACATTGCTAAAATTCCCCTCTGCTCCGTCTGCACAATGGGGGGGGGCCCCCGATTAAAAAAAAAATAAAAACTTTCCTTTCTGTCTCTTCTGTTGTACTGTAGATTTGGCCTTTTTGGCCAAGTGTAGAGGGCTTTGACAGCTTCTTTAAAAGCACAGAAAGGCGCTTGAATGAGAAATGGCTTAGGGCCAGCCCTTGGCCTGTCTGTCTCCGGAAGAGGGCCATTCTTCACGCCGAAAACAGAGGCTCTTGTGAGGAGCAGATAAGCCCTAAAATGAATTCGAGCGAGGACGCAAAGTGAACTTGAGGGGTCCATCTCGACGGCCAAGCCTTTGGAGGTTTCACACGCAGATCCAGTTGTTTGGATTCCAAATAAACAGTCCAGAGTAGCACCTAATGACGTCCAGAATAGGCCGGTTTATAGGATAAATGATCTAGCGACACGTGACATGAAACATTATACATTATATACAGATTCCGTTCATTTTTTCATATTTTGATAAGTAGCTATTTCCAAATACTATCCAAACTGGATCTTTTAAACCGTTGACGGACGGTGGGCGTGTTTCTGTTTTTTAAACACTTTCAAAAGTTGGTTGATAAAAGCCACCTTGGGAAATCGGAAAAGTTGAGCCACAACGAGACAAAGACAAAGAAATGGTTGAAGGTTCAAGATTTATTGGTCACATAGTTATACAGATACAATTCACAGTGAAATGCAAATCCGGTTTCTCCCTAGACTGTGAGACAAATAACAGTTAAATAAACAAACAAAAAATAAATTAAATGGTTAAAAGTGGACCCATGACCCTGAATAAGACAAGAGGTTATAGGAAATGGATGGATGGATGGATGGACGGATGGATGGATGTGTTAAAAGTGGGGAGGGTGGCAAAATGGATAATAAAGGTTAAATAAGATTATATACACTATATGTACAGAAGTGATCATTTAATATGGATGATAAAAAGTTAAATATGAGTATATATGCGGAAGTGGCAATGTATAATGTACAAAAATGGCAGAATGCAAACAAGACAATGTACAGTAGAATGTGAAATAGAGGTTAGAATTAGCGCTGCGAATTTTGCACAACTAATATAAAGATATCGGGAAACAGAAGCCTTTCGGACACCTTCCTGTCATTTTTTGTCTCCGTCTGAAAGATTTGACCCATTCAGGATCCAGCTTACAATTCAAACCTCCAAGAAGACAGGACCAATTCCACTGCGAGGCGTTTCCTCCCTGTGATTCTTCCATCCATGTGTTTGCGCTGAAATCTTCCCTCGATTAATCTCATTTGAAATGTGAAAGTCGTGCACTGTCCTGCATTCATCCAGCCCAGCGGGGAAGGCATATTTCACCTGGGCATCAAACTGTGTGGATTAATTGTCCACCTACAACACAGGAATAGGTCGAGCAGGGTGCCCATGATATTTTTCACCCTGCGGCTTGTGCTGTTTTGCCATGGAAACCATCTTCCTTTCCCTGTGTGTCTTGTCTTTAATTTCAAAAGCACACCGAGTGCATCATTGTCTTGTTCTGCTATTGAGAGGTCCTACATTATTAAAATAAACACACCTACCTTTGTGGGCCCGTGTTTTGATGTATGTTTAATAATAAGCTACAGCTGTGAATGGGTAGCACAGTGGATCAGTAGGTAGTACTGGTGTCTCATACCTCCAGGTGTCTGGGCGTTTCAATGCCCTGTTCGTGTGGTTCGGTAGATTATTGACTCTATTGTCTAAACTGTGTTTGTGTGCCCCTGTCACAGACTGCTATTCTTCCCACCAAGTGCTTCCTGGGACAGGATACCGGCTCATTGTGCCCTTGTACCGAAGATTCTGGGAAAAACAAAACGAATGAGTTCATGCGCGCATCTCCGGAATATCGTTTCAGATGAATGACCGAATGATGCTCTATTTGGCTTTTGCACAGGTACACTGGAATGCCTCGTTTCACATATCCCATCATGCTGTTCTTCTTGAGACATGCACACACACACAAGTAGGTGAGAAGCTTGGAGCCCGAGCACTGGGGCCATTTTTCTGGCGCCACTGGAGCGGTCAGGGGTTAAAATAAGTACGCAGGTGATTCCAAATTACCCCAGAAAGTACAACATGAACCGGTGTGATCTTGGCTGTTTTTTGACCAGGTGAAAGCGAAAAAAAGATAAACCCACAGCCCCCACTCCTGTAGTCAAACAACGTTAAACAGTAGCTTTAGACAGGGAAGTGTCAGGTGACTTTTAACACTTTGGCTCCCCTGGTTTGAAATGCTACATGGATCAGAGGTGACTGAAGCATCAAGTTAGCTTGGTGGGGGGCGGGGGGGGGGGGGTGACTCCTGCTGGGAAACACCCTTAAGTGCTCCCTCCTGCAAGCACACATGTGATATTTAACAGCATTTGAATTTGAAAACAGATGCGTCCCCTTCCACACCTACGCTGAGGCTGGGGCCGTAGCTGCAGGTGTTAGCGACCGTGCGTAGAGGCCGGTGTGACAACGAGGCTCCATTGGAATGTGGAGTCTTACGGATTTTACACGCTGACCAAATACGGATATAAGAATAACTGCAAAATGCTGCAAAAGAGCAGTGAAACCAAAAAACAGGGACATTTGTCCATAAACTGTTCTGTAAACTGGCAGATGCATTTTCTGTTTCTTAAAAAAATCGCTGTAATTCTGTTACCTTTAGAAGCCTGAAAGATCAGGTGAATCGCCTACTCTTTGGTCCTACATGACCAGCTTTGTTTCCAGGCAAAATCATTTCAATGGTGTTAAATGTTGCTCAAGCTAAACCCTTTCAAATCTCTTTATGTTAATTGTCTGTCATTAAATTATCATTTCCTATTCCCAATCCCAATACAATGTACTTCCTTTGTTATTTATTGTCTTTATAACTAATATTCTTAGTTAATCCAGCTAAGTCATGGTTTTGTCCTGTCCTCCAACAAATTAGTACAAATTGCCCTCCCCCCCTAAGACATTACTTAACCTGCTGCTAAATACCTGTTAATATCTTGCAGAGAGAGGACTGACTTAACAAATACCCCCCCAAGCTAAGGCTTAAAACAAACAGCTGCTGTGAAGGGTGGGGGGCCTGATAGTGTCATGCATGCTGCCCCTAGGACACCAAAACATGGTGCTGGGGGGTTAGGGTGCCACAAAGGTATCGTTGAGCCACTGACCCCCCTGGGAGGTGAGAATCACAGCGAGAGGTACGTTCGCTGCTTTGAGGCCCGCAGATTTTAACGCCTTTAAAAAGGCCTGTTTCCTATCAAAGCACCCCCCCCCCCCATTGCAACATTAACATCAGCGGCACGTTCAGAGGGCAATGAATACTAGCGGGAGGTCCAGGTCATGCATATGCTTAAGGGTAGTCAGCCTGCCATGGGAGATGCACATTTCCCTAAAAAGGACCTCAGGATCTGACTGGTATCCGCTTGGAAGTTACACTCTAAAAATAAGCAAAGTCTTTAAATGGACTTTTCTCAAGACTATTCCGGAATCTTTGGATCTGACCCTTAGGGAAGTGTAGCGGATCTCAATCTGAGGAAATACAGGACGACTTGATTTGTAGAGCAGGGGATCGATATTTTTTATTTTTTCTTTGGAGACGGGGGGGAGTAAAATTTACTTAGCATTTGTGTGAAATGTGCATGGAAATATGGGACAAATCACTACATGGAATGATGAAAATAATTTTTTCAGGGGGGCTGCGATGAAAAATTTGGTGGCTAATGCCCCCTAAATAGGGTCTAAAAACACTTATGCTTAATCATCTCCACTAAATCAATATTTTGTCTTCTTCTTCTGACAAGCTAAATACGCTGTATGGACAAAAGTATCTCGGCAAGTGGCCATTATACCCACAGGAACTTTTATGACATCCCATTCTAAATCCATAGGCATCAATATGGAGTTGGTCCCCCCCCTTGCAACTGTAATAGCTGCCCCTCTTCTGGGAAGGAGTGTGTCTGTGGGAATTTTTGCCCATTCATCCAGAAGAGCATTTATGAGGTCAGGCACTGATGTTGGACATGAAGGCCTGGCTCACAATCTATTTTATTTAATGTGATTTTTTTATATTATAGGCTTTATGACAATCCATAAGTTGGACATTCTTAACCAGGGCACTGCCTG